GCCGGGCCCGTGAGCCATGGCCACTGAGCCTGCGCATCCGGAGCCTGTGCTCCGCAAATGGGAGAGGCCACAACAGTGAGAGGCCCGCATAACGCAAGAAAAAAAATAAAAATAAAAATAAAAAAATAAAAAAAGAGTCTTTCTGGAAGCAGTCGAATTCGAAGAAAATCTTTGGGAAGGGGAAGAGTAAGAGGGAATTGAGAAAGAGTAATGGTCTTCTTCATTTGTGCTTCTTACCCCTGGGCCTCTTTTCCCACTTCCAGTTTTTTCCCCAAAGATGCTTCACATTCTTTGTTCAGGCTTTTTCATTTGTCTCCTGCTCAACCCAACCCATCCTTCATTTATAAGCCACCTCCTCCAGGAAGTCTTCCTGAAATCGTTTTCACTCATTCTCTGATCTGTAAACATAATCCTCCACTCACTCTTCTCCCCTCAGCACACATTTACAATTTGGTAACGACATATCTTGGTTGACGATGGATATACCTTGTTTGCCTCATCACACTCCCTGATTCAGTAATGGCAGATTTTGGATGATGATGGATATACTTTACCTGCCTTATCATACTTCCTAAGGGTAGGGACCGTGGTTGGCTTGTCATCAGTCTCCCAAACACCTTTTCATATCTCCCTCTCCCTCTCCAAGGCTCCCAAAGACTTGTAGGCTCTTTATTATTACTTTTTAAAATATTTATTTACTTGGCTGTGCCAGGTCTTAGTTGCGGCATGCGGGATCTAGTTTCCCGGCCAGGGATAGAACCCAGGGCCCCTGCATTGGGAGCACGGAGGCTTACCCACTGGACCACCAGGGAAGTCCCAAGACTTGTAGGCTGTTTAAAAAGATGGGGATGTTACTGATATGGGGGAGAGATAAACTGAAGTATAAACAAAAAGAGAGAAAAAATGGAAGAGATGGAAAAGAAATGAGGGGATTAGGTAAGGCCTTCCCACCTCTAGCATCTCCAGTGCCATGCATGGGTGTTTAGTTGCAACATTCCACAACACCACAAGCAGACATCCTGGAGAGAGCTGGAAAGAGGTGCAAACAGTTATGTGGGAGACACCTATATTAAGAAGATGTGGTGCTAACAGAGAGGCAGGATCCAGTCACAGTCAACTAGAGCAAGCCAAGCCAAGCCAAGCCAACACACACTAAAAATCACCTCCACCCACCCAGCTCTCCGGAGATAGAATAAACCCAAGGGGGAATTAGAGGACCAAGTGCAGAGTTGATGGAGATTCTGGTGAGGGAGGGAAACAGTCTTGAGAAGTGAGACATTTCCTGGCAATGTCTGTTTCCAAATGCCTTTTCCCTGCACTACATGTCCTAAAATCATTAAGTGTGAACTCACAGCAACTACTGCTTAAAAGCTGAGCTAAAGCATTTTTAGCAGGAATCCTCATCATCTGGTTATAGAACGCAAGTTTCAGCTAGATCATGAACTTCTTGAGCCAGACTGAACACCATGTCTCACTTCACATGAGCATCCCCCAGCACTGGGCCTGGCATCTGCCAGTGAAGAATGACTGTTGATTGAGAAGGATAAGAATATCTGTTTCTGTAATGGACACCAAGGGGGGAAAGAGGTGGCGGGGGGGATGAATTGGGAGATTGGGATTGACATATATACACTAATATGTATAAAATAGATAACTAATAAGAACCTGCTGTATAAAAAATAAATAAAATAAAACTCAAAAATTTAAAAACAAAACAAAGAATATCTGTATCTGGCATTTAGAAGATCTAGGCAGAGTCAGTCAAAAGATCCTTTCACATTGCCCTATTGGTGATGGGCAGTTCAATGACTGGCTATATATTTATTGAGACCATCTGTGTGCCAGGCACGGTTCCAGGTTCAGGGAAAACAGCAGTGAACAGGCTAGGTTCCTGTTCCTATAAAGCTACCTTCTGTTGGATAGAAACAGATCAAACCAGATAAATAGATCATTTCAGATAGTGATAAATGCCATGAATCCATATATCTGTGTAAAGAGACAGCACTTTGGAGGAAAACTACTTGAGATACAGTGGTGAAAGAAGTCCTCTCTGAATATGTTACCTTTGAGTTGAGACCTGAATGAGAAGGTGGAGACAGCCATGGATATTGCTAGAGGAAGAAGGGCCCAAACAGAAGGAACATGAGTGCAAAGGCCTGGCAGTAATGTCAGTCTTGTTATGCTCAAGGAACAGAAAGTATAAGGCACTGCAAGTAAAGCATAAGGAGCAAAATGGGGAGGGGAAGGTCCACCTGTAATCTCAACATGTAAGATAGTGGGTCCCCCCTTGGTTAAACATTGGAATCACCTGGAGAGCTTTTAAAACTCCTGATTCCTGGGACCCATCCCCAGAGATTCTGTTTAATTGATCTGAGGTGTCTCCTGGGCATCAGGAGTTTAAAAGTTCCCCCAATGACTTTAATGTGCAACTAAGGATGTGAACCATCGACTAGGACTTGAAGGTCATAGAAAGGCTCTTGGATTGGTGACGATACAAGGTTCCTGATGAGACTCAGAGGCCTTTCTCTGATATTCCAGGCCCAGATCCAGAAAGAACCCAATGTCCAAGAGGCCTTGGGGTAGGGATAGAGCCAAGAAAATGAAGCAGTCCAAAAAAAAAGAAAAGAGAGAGAGACAGACAGACAGAGACAGAGAGACAGAAGAGGACAGACAAGAGAGCCCAGAGAGGCAGAGAAATCCGAAAAACGTGACAAACTGGAAGGGGCAAAAACAAGTGCATACAGTCCCAAAGGGCCAGAGACTGAAGGAGAAAGGGAAAGCATGTGTATTAGTTTCCTATTTGCTGCTGTAACAAATTATCACAAACTTTTGTTTGAAATCTGAGAAACAACACACATTTATTATCTTATAGTTCTGTAGTTCAGAAGTCTAAAATAGGATTTACAGGGCTAAAATCAAGCCCTGTCGGCGGGGCTGGATTCCATCTGTAATCCATCTCCTAGCCTTCTCCAGCTTCTAGTGGCCACCCACTTCCTTTGCTCATGACCCCCCATCCTCAGTCTTCAAAGCCAGCAATGTCAGGCTGAGAGATAAGCTTCTATCTCTCTGGTTGTCTTCTTCCATTTCTGTCCTCCACTTTTTTCTTTTTTTTCTTTGGCTCACCACGCAGCACGTGGGATCTTAGTTCCCCGACCAGGGATCCAACCAGCGCCCCCCTGCAGCGGAAGTGTGGAGTCTTAACTGCTGGACCGCCAGGGAAGTCCCTGTCCTCCACTTTTAGGGATGCTTGGATAATCTAGAATAATCTCCCTACTTTAAACTCAACTGATTAGCAAACTTAATTCCATCTGCAAGCTTAATTCCCCTTTGCCATGTAAGGTAACATGTTCACAGCTTCCAGGAATTAGGACATAGACATCTCTGGGGGACCATTATTCTACCTATCATTACATGGATGTCCATTTTACAAAATAGACTTTGGTCATATCTGAAGTGTTTTTCTTGGATAGCTGTGTGCTTTATGAGCATGGAGCTGGGAGGTTTTTCCAAGATGAGTGTGTTGATTTGTGTACTTTGTTTATCAGGGTGTCATGTTTGAGTGTCTCCCTAATAAGTAGGGGAGAGAAGGATGCCTGGAGGAGTTGCCTAATAACATGCTGTTGCTTCATAAAGACGTACTGTTGTTGTATTGCTGTTCTTATTGACAATAAAACTAATGACAGAGTGCCTCTTTGCATGTGTTCTTTGAGAACGTCTATCTGTCCCTAAATAATCCTGGATGTCCGTCCCAGTGATATTCAGTGTGTATGAGACTATTTGGGCATATCTGTGATTTTGCATTATATGAAAGTATCTGCCTATTTGTGCATTTTGGGGCATTTAGACATAGCTGGATGCACACGCATGTTTGTACAACAGTGTGTGTGATCATAGTTGTAGACATCTGAATGTTTACTTATTCACAACCCCACAGGGGTAGCAGACAGAAAGGCCTAGCATGAGAGAGGTGGAGGAACTAGGAAGAAGAGGGAGCAAGGAGGAAGGAAGGAAAGGAGGGAAGAGGAGAGGGAAGGAGGAAAGAGGCAGAGAGATGGAGGTGAGGGAAGAGGGCATGAGGAAAACTCCGGAAAAAAAAAAAATCAGAAAGTAGAAGGGAGTTCTAGGGATCTGAAATTAAAAAGCGGCAGGGTGGAATCACAGCAAGGCCATGAATCAGAAGATCTGGGTATGGCTCCACTTCAGGTCATTCCCTTACTGTGTGACCTTGACAGTGCCAGGTCTCTGGGCCTCAGTTGACCAAAACAGTGAAAACAGACAACCTTTGGGTACATGCCAAAGAAGGAGAGAAAGAGAACAGTGGAAATAAAAACATACACAGGGAAAAGAGAGAGAGACAACTAGAAAGAGAGACATAGGAAGAAACAAGGGAGGCAATGGGAGCCAGCCAGAGGTACAGCTGAGAGAGCCCTACGCTGACTCCTTGAGGTGGGGGTGTGGGTGCCTGCTCTCCACCCCTTACCCCACAGCTTCAGTGTCCTCAAGTCCTTAATAGGTAAGGCAGAAAGATGGAGAGGAGAGAGGCCTCTGGAATGACAGCCACACACCAACACTCAGAGGCCTGCCAAAGCCGCACAAACCAGGATCCCTGCTTCCTGGCCCCAGGCCCCCAGATGTAGGTGTGCCAGCCACCTAGAATGACATACCCTGGCGATGTGGGCACACATGCCAAAAGCGAGCCGGGGTGCCCTGCCCACCTGTACACAGCAGGCCAAGGGGGAGGCGAGATTCGGGCAGTTCGGAGGGGTGATGGGGGCTACCCACCCCACACCTTGATACCTTGCCCCCAGAGTGCCCCATAGCGACCATCTCCTCGGCTCGAGAGCTAGATGTCCTTTCCACCCTCCTCCTCCAAACCTCACGGGGAAGCTGGAGAACCAGATGGGGTGTTACGCAAGCCCTGATGTTTACCTCCCGCAGGGGCCTCCTCCCTCCCTATAAAGCCTGACGTAGTGGGGAGATTGGCGGAGACAGACTGGTTGAAGAGAGAGGCGATTCCAGGAGAGCGCCAGAAAGCGTCAGAAAGTTAATGTGGGAGGCGGAGAGAGGGGCAGCGACGCAACCAGCAGCAGAGGCGCTCAGCCACCTGAGTAGCCCGAAGGTGGTCGCGATGGTCGCGGAAGGGACGGCGCCCGGACGCTGGCTCCCCATGGAGGCATCGGAGCTGCTGGGCCGGGGGCTGGTGCAGCGCCTGGAGCAGCTAACGACGTGCCCGCTGTGCGGGGGCCCCTTCGAGGACCCGGTGCTCCTGGCGTGTGAGCACAGCTTCTGCCGCGCGTGTCTGGACCGCCGCTGGGGGACCCCGCCGCCCCCCGGCCCCGAGGCGCCCCCCACCGCCTGCCCGTGCTGCGGCCGGCCGTGCCCCCGCCGCAGCCTGAGGTCTAACGTGCGGCTGGCGGTGGAAGTGCGGATCAGCCGTGGGCTGCGGGAGAAGCTGTCCGGGCCCGGGGCCCGAACTGGGAAACGCCGAGGGGGCCGCATCCCCACCATGGGCTGCCTGGACCCGCACGGAGAGGTGAGGCAGGGGTGCGCTTCGCGAGTCCGCAGCTGTCGGCCGAAGGGGCCATCCGCGGTCTCCCTGGGGAAGCGGGGAATGGCACCTCCCGAGCTGGGGCCCTCCTCGAAGTTTAGGCAAAAGATGGAGCTGGGGAAAGAAAAGCGGAGGACGAGGGGGCGGCAGCTGTCAAGTGAGAGATGCCGGGAAGGAGTTGACGCTTTGCCCAGAGCGAAGCTAGACGGATGCCTGAGTCTTGGGAGAGGGGCTGGAGGGAAGGGGTTGGAACACCAGACAGAACAAGAGGAGACCCCTAAGGCCCGGCGAAGAGCGCGGGAACTGGGAGGCTGGGAAAAGACGCCGCTAGGCGCCCCGGAGGCGGAGGCTAGGCGGAGGGGAGGGTGCTGGGTGCCTGGGAGGTTGGTGAGGGAGATCAGAACTCGCCCAGCAGAGGAGAAGCAGGAGGGAGGATGGACAAAAAGCTGGAGTGGAGGGGCGGGGATGGAGGCGGCTGTCACAAGTTGGGAAGAAGGGAGGGAGGCAGATCCAAACTCCCCTGCCGTGTCGTGGGGTGGGTCCCCGGGCTCCGGCCTGGGCCTTGTTGTGTTGTTATTGTTATCCTCCGCTCCTCCCAGGGCCCCAGGCAGAGGCGGCCACGGGTGGAGGCAAGGTCCGGGAAAACAGACGTTGGGACCTCTGGTTCCTCTCCACATCCCACCCTGATCACCCACCCACCTAGCCTCCCGCGTCCCTCCTGGGTCCTGACTCTTTGGCGTCAACCAACCCCATTCCCTTGCCGACCCCCAGGCGCCCCGCATTCCCGCCTGGCTTCTTGCCAGCAGCCGAGCCGGTCTCGAGTCTTGCTTCCACCCTTTGAAGTCTACATATACCTAATTAGTCTAGGTGTAATTGTTATAATTAGGCAAACTGCCTTTCCTCTCTCCCCTTCAACACCCTACGGGTCTGCCCCAGTCTTTCCCACTAGACTGCGAAGCCGGAAGAGGGAATCCTAGTATTTGGATGAGGAGCATCCAGCGCCCTCTCCTGGCTCTCATGGTACCCTGCAGATCTGCTGGGCCTTCTGGGACACATCCAAGTCCAGCTGCTTCCTTGGTCAGGGTAGAGAGACAGAGAACAAAGGGCCCTATAAACGACACTGGGCTTTTATGGCAAGAGGGGAAGCAGCTTTATTATAAGGCTATAAATGAACTCTTAGCCTAAGGACTCTAAGTATGTGTTTGGTCTGTGTGATGGAGGAGGCGGGGGATGTTTATCTGGGATACACCCTCAGGAAGGTGGATAAGGATGGGGGCCACTGAGAAAGAGAAGGGGGGCGGGCTGGGAGGAAACAGGGAACGGTGAGGACTCTGGGGGCAAGAAAAAAGCCTGGATGAGGCTGGGGAAGGGGAACTGAGAGGCCTTGCGGCACGGCAAAGGGAGGAGGAGGACAGTAGGGGTGGAGTTAGGAGGATGAGAAAGTGGTGACTGAGAGGAAGGAAAGGTCATGAAAGGGGAAGGGGGAGAATGAGAGGAAAAGGGAGCACAGGGGATAAAGAGGTGAGATCAGTCGGAGATGCGAGGAGGGACCTCACCAAATCAGACCCAGCTACCTGAGGAGGCGAGGGAAGAGCTCCCCACAGTATGAAGCCCAGAGCTCACATCCATGTTTTTTTCTGCCCACCCCAGGATACGAAGAAGACATGGAGAAGGTGAGTTCCATTTTTACTGTTTTTTCTTTTCCACTATCAGCTGCCACATCCATCATCTTCTTACAGGAGCCACATCTTTGTCCCCACTCACAGACAGGTTTTGTGGGTGTGGCCTCACCCTTTTTTTTTTTTTTTTTTTTTTTTTTTCTTGCGTTATGCGGGCCTCTCACTGTCGTGGCCTCTCCCATTTGCGGAGCACAGGCTCCGGACGCGCAGGCTCAGTGGCCATGGCTCACGGGCCCAGCCGCTCCGCGGCATGTGGGATCCTCCCGAAACGGGGCACAAACCCGCGTCTCCCGCATCGGCAGGCGGACTCTCAAGCACTGCGCCACCAGGGAAGCCCGGCCTCACCCTTTTCTGCTCCAGAGATGTGAGTGGGGTAGAGGTGGGGACATCAGAGGGCAGAGAGTGTCTACCAATTTCCTGACCCTTCTCTCTCATCTGTCCAGGTTTGATGCCCCAACTCCCAAGTCATCTAACTCAGAGGACTATCTCCCTGAAGATTACCCAGTGGTCAAAAACATGCTTCATAGACTGACGGGTAAGGAAGGCACAAGGGAGGGAACTAAATGAGAGGCTGTTTTCAGTTTGTTCCCTTTTCTCTCTCAAATATGATCAAGTCCTTTTTGATGTCTGTATTAGTTTCCTAGGACTGCCATAGGAAAGCATTGCACGCCGAGTAGCTTAAACAATAGAAATTTATTGTCTCATGGTTCTAGAGGCAGAAGTTAAATGATTCTAGAGGTAGAAGTCAAGGTGTCAACAGTGTTGGTTCCTTCTAGGGGCTGAGAGGGAGACTCTGTTCCAGGACTCTCTCCTAGCTTCTGATAGCCTCAGGCATTCCTTGGCCTGTGGATGGCATTCTCCCTGTCTTCACAGCATTTTCTCTCTATACACACTTGTCTTTGGGTCCAAATTTCCCCTTTTTATAAGGACACTGGATATATTGGATTGGGGTCCACCCTAATGACCTCATTTTAACTTGATTACCTCTGTAAAGATTCTATTTCCAAATACAGTCAAATTCTGAGGTATTGGGGGGACCTCACAACTTTCGGGGGGGGGAACACAATTCAACCTATAACAAGGTCTATCCTTCATTCCTCATATTCCAGCTATTCTCTCCTCTTACCTGTTCATACACTCACACAACAGACCCCTGGGGGTCAGCTGCTTCTGGGGAATCCCTGCTGCCACCACTTCTCATCACTCCCTTCCAGAAGTGTCCCAGGATTCCCGCATCTCCTTGCCCCTGAGGCTCTGAGCCTTCTCTGCAGCTTCTGGGGAGTTCCTTCCATCACTTCCAAGGCTGCCCTCTGCCCTTCTTTAAACTGCCTAGAGAAGGTGCTCTGCCCTCTTGGTCACCCACCATCCCACCCAACCCAGATTGCTTTTAGCACCCCTAATCCAGAAATCTTTCCTCAAAGCACCCATACACACAAGGCCAATGATTAGTTCTTTCTGGTCCCTTTGGCTATCACCACCTTCTCTCTCCTCTGCCCTGCACTCCCTATAGAAATAGGCCTGTCTACTCCCACCAGTTCCTGTGGGTGGTGGGTTGGTTTCTCAGGATACTTGGATTTCTCCCTCTGGCCCTCCCCTCTATCATGGGCGGTGCTGGTATCTGGTATCAGTCTTCCTCTTTAGCTCCATCTTCTCCATCCTGTTGACCCAGCTCCCACCCCCGCCCCAGATGCTGCAGATTGAGGTATCAGTCCTCACCCTCCCTAGAAGTCAGACAGCCTCACTCTGCCGCCAAGCGCGCAAACCTGGGCAACCCCTCCTTCAGTCTCTGCACTGTGTCCCCTGCCCTGGGCCAGCAGGGTCCTTCTCCAAGTCCAATTCTCCAGAAGGAAGTGGCCCATCAGCGCAGGCTGGGTCTTGCCCAAGCCTGCTCTTCATATGCCTTCACCCTCTTTGGTCCTACAGCCGCCTTTTGAGCTGCTGTGGGCCTCTTGTGTACCCTCCGCGCATCCTCTCCATCCTATCCCTCCTCTGATTCGGAAAGCCAGCTCACACGGTCCTCCCCCTGCTTTCTCCTCTCCAGCCGACCTGACCCTGGATCCTGGCACCGCTAACCGCCGCTTGCTGGTCTCCGCGGACCGCCGCAGCGTCCGACTGGCCCCACCGGGGACACCCGCACCCCGCGACGGCCCAGGGCGCTTCGATCAGCTCCCGGCGGTGCTGGGCGCGCAGGGCTTCGGGGCTGGCCGCCACTGCTGGGAGGTGGAGATCGCCGACACCGCCTCCCGCGGAGACTCTTCCGGGGAGGATGAGGACGACGGGGAGAGCCGCTATGCCCTGGGCGCGGCCGGGGAGTCGGTGCGACGCAAGGGCAGAGTAGGCCTATGTCCCGCGGAGGCTGTGTGGGCCGTGGAGGGTCGCGGCGGCCGCCTGTGGGCGCTCACTGCCCCGGAGCCCACCCCGCTGAGCGGCGCCAGGCCCCAGCCGCGGCGCATCCGCGTGGACTTGGACTGGGAGCGGGGCCGCGTGGCCTTCTACGACGGCCGTTCCCTGGACTTGCTCTTCGCCTTCCAGGCGCCCGGTCCCCTGGGTGAGCGCGTCTTCCCGCTGCTGTGCACCCGCGACCCCCGCGCCCACCTCTGCCTCGTGCCAGCGGAAGGCTGAGAAGCTCACCCACAACCCTTATTCTGGCTTGGTCAGAAATAAGGCTGCTTCCTCTTGGGCACGGAAATCCTTACTCATTCCAGGCATCATGTCCACGCCCATTGCCGGTGTATTGATAAGCACCCCTCCACCTACATTGTCTGTTTTCTTCCAGATAGTTAGGACCTCAACTGGCCTCCAGTTTCCACATCCGTGCCCGAAGCTTAATTCATTCCTGCCCCCCCCCCAAAATCTTGGGATGCTTCTCTCCCTTGGTTACCCCAGTACTTCCCAAGGGATCTCTCCCCTTCTATCTTTCCCAGGCCTGAATTGGGGAACAGGTCCTGCCCCATCAGTACTGGTAACTGGCCCATGTTTAATACCCAGAGGCCCTGCCGGTCAAACATTTACCTCCCACCCCTGCCTCTCCTCCTGGCAAAGAAGGGCCCAGTGCCCTCTCCACAGGTCTGAGGCTTGGGCTTCCCTGCCTCGTCCATTCTGAGATTTCTCCTCAAGAGAAACAAAAGCCTCCTCCCCCAAAACAAGAGGCTTGACTCTGGCCTGGGCCTTAGGGCCCTCTTTCTGGGGGAGAAGGGGGCAGGCCAGTTCTACTCCACCACGGCGGCTTTCTATGCTTACAGCCTTTTCCCATTAAGAACCTTCTTAAAACCTCCCCCCTGCACATACTCACAAGCAACCAATGGTGCTACCTCTCCTTTCCTCAACCTGGGAATGGCCCAGACACCCCAAATTCACCCTTGTATATAGCCTCACTTCTTTCCCCATATGTATAAATGGGCCTGTATTTAACACATTTTGTGATGTTATTTATTTTGTGCATCTGTGGCAATAAATGAGATCTCAGTGGTGGTATGGATTTGACTGATCTCTGCAACTGGGCATGGCAAGAGGCCTGGAAAATGATATCTAGATCCCAGTAAGGGGTGGGGAAGGCCAGCACATCTGGGCTGGCAGAGACATCAAAGCCTAGGAAGGAAGGGGTGAGAGTACATCTCTTTGCTCCCTCCCTGTTCCTTCCTCTCCCAGGGACCCAGGCCCCTGGGACCGTGTTGGATCTGTCTCCTAAGCTGGAAGACCAAAGTCTGAGGAGATAGTTGGCTCTAAGTGACCAGTCTTGAAGCCAGCTTTGTCAGAAACCCTAGGTCACACAAGAAGGGTGAGGGGAGAGGACATGACTATTTCTTTTTCCATTTCCCATTCTCCCAAGGTGAGAATGACAAAGACCTCTCTCTCTCCTAACTCCTCTTAAGGGCATGACGGGAGTGGGCAGGAGAGGAGGGAAAGGGCTAGGAGCCCTGAGGTCTCACATAAGACCTCACATCCCACAGGCAAGGACTAAGAGTTAGGATGACATAAATACATTAGCTCTAAGCCAGGATTAACAAGCATAGCTGGGGCAAGATTGCCTGGAATCTGACTAGGACCCTGGCAGTGAAAGCTGGGGCTGTTGGAAACCCAATTTAACTGTTTGGAACTCAAGTAGAGAGTGCAAGGGGCCAAGATAATTAGATCACAGGACAGGTAGTTTGGCAGTGAGAACAAAGGGAAAAGACTGGGACCAAGATGCCTGGATCCCTGAAGAGAGGAGGCAGAAATGAGGGCTGGGGGAACCCAGAAGCCTGGGTTCTGGAATAGCAGCAAGTCAGAATTCCAGGATCTCTGTCTACCCTCCTCCCCCTCTTCCCTCTATCAGGCAGAGGAGAGGGGAGGAGGGGTCTGGAGAAGGGACCAAACCATGGGTTAAGTCCCTGAATAGCCACATGAATACATTCAGGGCCAGACAGACACAGGAATGGTGGGGCAGAGAGGAATTTAGTGCTGCATTGGCCCTGGAGGGGGCTGGGAGGGGTCAGGAGGCTGGGGAGGGGTGGTGGGGCTTGGTCCCGGGGTTGCATGACGCCGTCCTTTGCGGTGGCCCCGTACACAGTGTGTATGACCACAGCCCTCCTCTTCCTCCTCGTCACTCTCCGTGGAGCTCTCGCCAAAGGCCCGAGGTTTCTCATAAATACAGCAGCCTGGATTTGGAGGCAGGAGCCCAATTAAAAAGGAGGAAGAGATAAGATGGAGCATCAGTTCCATTCCCATTGGATCTCGGTAAAAATCCCTACTTTCACCATTTTCTCCTCCTACCTTCCAGGAACCAACTTCCCCAGGCCCACACCCTGGGACTCAGACACCCAACTCCCTCGTCCTTTCCAGCCAGGAATCCAAAGCTTCACTTCTCCCACTTCAGATACCTCTTGACTTTAAGCCTTGGCACATCCCAATTCAAGCCTCTCCCTACCTCTGTTCCTCTAACTTTAACCTTCTCTCCCTGATACTGGAGAACCACCAGGACAGCCACAGGATTGTGAGCATCTGGGGGCTTCGGGAAGGTCAGTGAATGTGAGAAGGCAGAAGACATGCTGAGGGGAGCCAGGACTCCAGGGTTACTGTGGGCCAACAATTACTCACATTTTGATGAGCGGCGGCCCATGTGTTCGTTGTCCACAGTGTCACTCGTCCATTCCACCTTTTTCTCTGGCTTCCGTTTCCGAAGTTTGATGGTTAGGCTCCGGTTCTCCTGGAATGTTAAGAAGGATGGGCATACCTAGCTAGTCCCCTCCTATTAAACTTTCCCACTTCCTCCCGGGGGCCTCCTCTCTTCCCTTCCCCAACTCAATCAGGATCAGACATAGTGCCAGAGGAGCTGAGGGCTGGGAGAAGATAAAATAGAACAGAATTTTGGCCTCAGGGAGTCCCTTGAGGAATCATGAAGTATTATTTCCTGTTCTTGGTAACCACTAGTATACAGAGAAGACACAATTCCTAACCTAGGAAAGGTCCCAGCAAATCTTCAAAGGAAAATATAATCCTCGCTGTTTCTCCGTCTTCCTCCCCAAATCATCCTTGGTGGTATTAATACATGGAAATTATTTTCTCAGTCACCAATGCCTAATCTTTGATCTCCCTTTCTTTTTTTCCAGACCCCCTATTCTTTTTCCCATTAAAGAAAGAACTCTGTTCTCACCTCTCTCATCCTCAAGCCCAGCCCTCCCTACCTGTTATCCACCTATTCCCCAGCATCCTGGCATCTCTAGTAACTATTACTCTAAACTCCCTTAGTCCAAGGGTTATTAAACCCAACACAACCTTCTCCATTTGAAGGCAGCTTAAGTCGTTTTTGCAAAAATGCTACATTTTTCTCTATTTATATCTCCTCTGATTTTTCAATCTTCATCTCCCTTTGCTTGTTCCCTCATTCCCTCTGCTTCCTTTTACAATCATCCCTTCAACAAATTATTTACTGATAAGTATGGTTCCAGTCAAATTCCCCTGCAGCTGGCCTCCAACCATGCTTTCTCACACAGCCCTTCATTTCCCCCCAGCACATCCCTTGCTCCTTAATCTCCAAATTCCCGTTCTTTCATTACTTATACACACCACCACTCCAAGAAGCATCACCTATATCCTAACTCTATTGCATGTCTCTTGACCAGCCTTCTGCACCAACTCTGACACACCCCAAATCTCCCAATACCTTGAGATTCTCCCAACCCCACTTCCTCCCATATCCCCAGGCCCAGCCCCTCCAGCAACTCTCCAAAGCCCTATCCCTTCCCTCCCGGTATCTCCCCAACCCCTAAACAGCACCGCCCCCCGCCTTTCTCACGGGCTCGGTTGTCACGGTAACCGTTGTCTCAGTGACGGTCTCACTCAGCCCGGCCCCTGCCTCCGCCATGGCTAAGGCTGAAGAGAGGGAGGAGGGGAGGAAGGGGGATGAGGCACCCTTCTGTCTTTTCTGTGTCTCTGAGGTCTAAGAGAATCGGTATCGGATTCAATTAGTAGCCAGGATCCTCCACCTTCTTTTTTCCCCCTCCTTCTGGGCCTTCGCTGCCCCACCCCTGGGGATAACCTGTCCAACCCCACTTCCGGATCTCCGCTTCCGGGTGTGACGCATTCTGTGGTCCCCGTTTTCCCTTCCTGGCACTAAATGCGTCTAAGCTCAAGGTCGCCGGATTAGTTCCGCCGTAATGCGACAGTGCGCAGGCGCCGCAACGCTACGCAACTTTGGCGGAAGGGGCGTCACTGCGATGTGGAAGCAGGGGCGGGGCGATCAAGTGCAGGACGCGCATGCGCCACAGAGGTTGAGCCGGAACCTGCGGTCGAGGGTACAGTTGGACTTGGCGCTGCATACTGGTTACCGCACGTGGTTCAGATGTCCAGTAGCTGAGTCCATCCCACCCCCATCCCTTGGCTGTGTGGGAGCGCCGAGAAAACTAAGGGGCAATAATAATGATCCTACCACGGCCTAGCTTCGTTTTCTTATTGTTTCGTCTGGGAATTAAAGAATCGAGACCTGGGAGCAGTTAGAAACACACTTGATTAAGAATCTGGGTTGGGTCCCCGAGCTGGGCCCCCCAGTGGCGCAGTGGTTAAGAATCCGCTTGCCAATGCAGGAGACACGGGTTCGAGCCCTGATCCGGGAAGATCCCACATGCCGCGGAGCAACGAAGCCTGTGCATCACAACTGCTGCGCCTGCACGCCTACTGAGTCTGCATGCTTAGAGCCCGTGCTCCTCAACAAGAGAAGCCACCGCAATGAGAAGCCCATGCACTGCAACGAAGAGTAGCCCCCGCTCGCTGCAACTAAAGAAAGCCCGAGCGCAGCAACGAAGACCAAACGCAGCCAAAAAGAGAAATACAAATACTGTATGCAGCCAAAAATAAAATTTAAAAAATAAATTAATTAAAAAAAAAAGAATCTGGGTTTTAATCCTCGCCCTGTGCCTGTAGGTGTTCGAGCAGGGCGCTTAATGCATCTTCAACTTGGATTTTTCTCCTTTCACTGTGCTGTAACTTGGAAGATGGAGGCGCATAAACCACTCACACCCTGCGTTTTAGCTCCCAGTCTAATGGGAAAGACTGGCATAAATACTAACAGAAATATAAGACATTGGAATATTAACATAGATTTAAGTCTCATCTATGAAACTGAATTTAGTTACATACTGCCTACACTTGCTCTGGGGTGGAGATGAGTAAGATTAAGCACAGAAATTGTCATAAGTTACAATATAGGCCAGTTTATAAGGTAAAAATATGTGTATGTTTCTCAGGGAGCACAAGAGTGGCAAAAAGAGAACAGGAAGGCAGACAAATGGGTTTTTTAGGTAAAGAAAGCAGCTTACAAAGTCGTAGTTGTGCGCACTGAAGGAAATGCAGTTTCATACTGAAGGGATGTAAGGGTGTGCCAAATGGTGACTGACAGGTGGGCGTGGTTATATAAGACGCCCTGTATGCTTTGCTAAGAAACTTGCACTTTATCCAGTCGGTGAAAGGCTTAAAGCAGGGTAGAAACATGAATAGATTTGTTTTAGATTTCAGGAGTGAGGCAGGAGAACTGTTCAAACATACACTGGAGAAAACTGCCCTGCCCATCCCTCCACGTTGCTGTGGGATCAAACAAGATAGTGTATGTTAGAAAGCTCGCAATATATAAAGGGCCGCACAATTACAAGATAATCGTTACCATCACCTCTTGGTCTCCATTTAAACCAAGGAATGCAGAATCAGCATTCCCAGATTGAAATTTGAATGTTTATTGTGCCTGGACTAAGCATTTGCTTCCCTTTTAAGTTTCTGGTTTGAACTGAAAAAAGCAAGATACAACTCAGCATGTATAGTAAATCCCATTAAAAAAAAAACCAAGTATCTCTGTGGAATGGGATTCCCTTTGATTTTTACTTTTTTCTTTCTACCTTTCTATATATGAATCTATTACAATGTAAAATATATATACATATATTACATTTATCTCAAGAGCAATAAAAAAAATTTCCAAAGTGTCCACCTGTATCTCTGAGTGTCAGATTGTTTTATTGTCCAGACTTACATATCAACTGAATCTGGTTAAGTTTTCTGTTGAACCTCCCACTATCCAAACTCCCACTCTTTGTTTCCCTAAACTCAGGAACCAAATAGATTTAGATAATGAGGGAGTACTTATAGTTGCCTTTTAATATTAACCTCATTCCTGGCTCCATTTTTTTGTCCTTGTTTTTTGTTTTATTTATTTTTTCCCTTTTTGTTGTACTAATTTATATTCTCTTTTTGTAGCTGATATATTTGTTGAAAGGACAAATATATCTCTCTAAGCTAACATAAATTTCTTTGGAAGAAGACAGATTAAAAATAACAGACATACGCCTGGCTCTTATACAAAACTATAACTTTAATAAAGGAAACTCAACTAGGGTAGGAGTACTCTGGGGACAATGGTAATCCCCACATGATGATCTGCTTTTCCTCTGGGAGCAAAACACCGCAATCAGGAGACGGACAAAGGATCTAAGAACCCAGTATCTTTCACCTTCCAAGGAAGAGGAGGAGAGATTGTTGAGTCGCTCAGAAAAAAAATCAAGAGTCTTCCTTCTCCTGGAACCTATAGAGAAAGAAAGGACTTGTTATATTGACCAAATGAAGAGGTTCTAGCAATGTAAGATAAGACAGTCAATTAAATAATCAAGAAAGACTTTCATTTATGACCGTGGAGGAGTAGCTCCCCTAAACAACCCTCCACAAATTCAAGACAACTAAAAATGCTGGGATTAAAAATATATCTTGCAAATTATGAAGTATGCCAAGATTTCTTAGGAAAACGAAAAGCACTAGCCATAAAAGAAAAAAGGATAAACTAGACCTCATAAAAATTAAAAACTTCTGGTCATTAAAAAAAATAAAAAGTTAAGAAAACAAATAGGTCAGACTGGGAAAAAAATATTCGCAAAAGGCACATCTAACTATAAATATTTTTAATCCATTGGTGAGAAGGCAAGAAAGTAAAGGCAACCTTCACACTGGCTGAAATGATATAAAACCAGGAATCTAGACAGGTAAGTTAAAACTGAAGCCCCTGCTACCATGGTGCCCTTGCTGGTTTGATAGCCACATGGGTGAACTAGAGACAAACGTACAATGTCTGATAGGAGATACTCTGAATAAGTTTGAGACCCCCAAAGGGCTACCTCTTTGTATAAAAGGGAACAAGAAAAAAAAAAATCCAACTCTTCAGAAGAGGAATTTGACTGTCTCACTAGGTAGAGGGAGGAAAAAAAAAAAATCTCCCCTGAGAATTTCTAACCAAAAGCTGGCCTTTACATTGGATTTTCAGTCCAAATTCATACTACCTATGTGCTCCAAAAAACATGAAGCTGAGAATTTATTTAAAGTGATTCTAGCTTGGTAGCACCTCAAGGCACCTGAACAGGAAACACAAATGCTAAGAATACAGCTTTCACCCCAGGCCTCAAAGAATTCCGTAGTCCAAATTCTAAAAAATCTGAGCTTATCATCAAAAATCACAAAAGAAAAAAGGCACCCTGAGAGAGTCAGTAGAAATAACAGATGGCAGCATCAGACCCACAAAAACTGTGGGTATGAGAATTAGCAGACAGAATATAAATATCATGTTTAGTATATTTAAATGTAATATATATTTTAAGAATAAAAGGAACAATTTAAAATATGATTAAAGAAGTGTGAATTATTAAAAATGAGGAGGGGATTTGAAAAATAATCAAGTAGAACTCAAAAAAAATTTTTTAAGTAACAATAATTGAAATAAACTGAAAACAGAATTAGTGAACCAGAAGAAAGACCAGAAGAATTTACCCAGAGGCAGAATAAAAAGAGATGGAAAATATAAAAGGGTGAGAGAAATGGAGGATAGATGATAATGTCTAATAAACAACTAATTAATTAGAGCTCCAGAATGTGAGAATTGAGAACATAGGGGAAAGGCAATACTCAATGAGATATGGCTGATAATTTTCCAAGGTTGCTGGAAAAAAAAATCAATCCTTACTTTCAGAAAGCCCAGCAAATCCCAAACACAATAAATAAAAGAAAGCCACATCTTGATATATTGTAGTGAAACTGCAGAACACCAAAGAGAAAGAGTTCTTAAAACTATTCCGTGTTCTTTAAATCACTCAAGAGTAATTCTCACCAAAGTAAAACTACCTTGAGTGCAGTGGAAGATTCCAACATAACACACTGATCAGCAAGCAATACTTGCCTTCTGTATTTTTTTTCTTTCCTTTTAAATATCTTAAAAGCTTTAATTCACTGGGTGTAAAAAGGATAAGAAAAGTGTAAATTAAAAAAAAAAGACCACAAATCTCCCTATTACTTGAACTGTACAGAAATGAGGGATGGGACCAAAGGAAACAACTGTTTATTCAGTACAAAAAGTAAATCGCTGGATTTGTTTAGGCAGCAAACAGACTGAGAAAGGGCAGAGGAGAGGGAAAGGATACACACTTGCAGTTGGTACAGGTGTAGAAGACGGTCTGCCCTTCATCAGCGGAGCGCATCTGTCTGGTGTGGTATGCCATTCCCTCGTGCCCACATCGAGAGCAGCGCCTGTCAACCTGGGAAGCGACTGGTGGGTTAATAATTCCCCCTACTGATCACAGACATCACGCTATCACACTCCTCAGACACTGCTGTTTTAAAGACCCCTCTTCCCTCTTAGAATTGGGTACAAAACACTGCAGATCTGTGCAATCCCCCCTTCATTTCTTTCCCACCCTCCTAACGGGGCCAGTCCTCCATGTCACTCACTTACCACGGGTCCCTGGAACTCAGGTCCTTCCTCCATCGACACGGGCATGGCTGTTCCCAGTTTGTGGAACACAACTGAGGTCTTCACAACCTTCGCCTCAAAGTCTGCGCAGGCAGTAAGAATTGGTTTGGAGTGGGCTGACACCCACAACTCCCTCTCGGTTTGGCCAGGAGGCCTTATATTCTTCCCTTCAGGTTTCGACCCAAGACCAAAATTGCCCTGCTTTAGGGTCCCCCTCTTCAATCCAACCCATCCTGAGGTCCTAAAGCCTCTGACCCTTCCACGCTGGGCCCTCTGCCGGGGCCGCTGCGTACGAGCCCCTCACCTCGCACGTTGATGGAGAAGCCACAGCGAGTACACGCGACCGTATCCTGAGCTCCGGGAAGAGGCAGGACCGAGCCGCAATCCGGACAGAAATCCAGGTCAGACTGAAAGCTGGAGCAGGTGCTGGCGAGGTCCATGATGGACGGATGGTCGAGGGCTGGGAAGGGGACGAAGAGTATTAATAAAAGAAAGACAGTAACTCCCTCCCCACTGAAGGGTCCTTCCTATTCTGTCCCTGGACCTAAGCATACAGAACCCGAGCCCTTCTCCCACGCACGCCTTGTGCCTCCGTGACCAAGGAGCCCAAATATCCGGAATTGCAAGCCCGGGTCCGGTACTTCGACTTGGGGGCTTATCGGGGTCTGGCGTGAGGGGCCAGCCAGCCCAGCGGGCTAGAGGACCTGCTCTACGCGGCAGCGGATCAGTGAGAGCATGGCGGGCTAGAGCGTCGATGCGTCCCGCCTGACGATTGGCTGTGACGTCATAATTAATCGCAAACGTGGTCCCGAGAGCCTGGAGAGCGGGAGGAACCTCTCTGAAGGAAAGTTTTAGCGCCACCTTCAGCCTGGTTCTGTGACGTCGGCTAAGGAAACAGGTGATTGAAGATGGTCCTCCGGTTATTTTTCCCTTCAGGACCCAGTACTGGGGTGTTTATTTTATTGGTCTCGAATTTTAAAGGGACGCAGTCGCGGGGAGCGTTTCTCCTGAAAAATCGTACTAACCTTACTGAACACTGATTTCTTTGGACGAGAGAACTACTACTTCCTCTGTTCCTGAGTTGATATTTTTTTTCAGCTGCCGGGCAGTGGTTAAAAACAAAGCGAAACATTCTGGGAGTTACAGTTCTAACGCTCCTTGGACCTCGCGGTCTAAGCAAGGGCTCTCTGCAGAGCCCCTCCTGGCTCGCGTGCTTTGGGGGCTGTTCTGGGCCGTTGGAAGGGGTGAGTCAACTTCTTACGGTGCAGGAAGTAGAGAGGGTGAAGGCGGAGGAGGAACATCTAGTCCTTAGGCACGATGGGAAACAGGGATGAAGTAGGACACTTGGGAAGGGGCTCAGGACCTTGGAGGTGGCGGAGCAGAAGAGGTTGGGACTCCTTCCTCTTTAGATGCCTGCCAGATGAGGGAGGTTAGCATTAGTCAAGGGAGCAACCTTGGGTAGGATTTCAGTAAGACTTGGTCGAGTTTGGCTTTCGGTTGCGGACCCCCTTCCACCTTGTCCCCCGCTTCCCATGGACCAACTCTACTTCATCATCGTCATCCCTTAGGTGGACAGCTGACATTGCCCTGAACTTTTATAAAGCATCAGGGCAAGTATTTTTTAAATCTTGCTATTTTAATTCATCTGTAACCTACCATCTAAAGTATAGAATCTGGGCTTCCCTGATTGGCGCAGTGGTTAAGAATCCGCCTGCCAATGCAGGGCACACGGGTTCAAGCCCTTGTGGGGGAAGATCCCACATGCCGTGGAGCAACTAAGCCCGTGTGCCACAACTACTGAAGCCTGCATGCTTAGAGCCCGTGCTCCGCAACAAGAGAAGCCACCGCAGTGAGAAGCCCACACACCACATCAAAGAGTAGCCCCCCACTCTCTGCAACTAGAGAAAGCTCGCGTGCAGCAATGAAGACCCAATGCAGCCAAAAATAAATAAATAAAGTATAGAATCTTTTTTTTTTAAATAAATTTATTTATTTATTTATGGCTGAGTTGGGTCTTCGTTGCTGTGTGCGGACTTTCTCTAGTTGCAGCAAGCAGGGGCTACTCTTCGTTGTGGTGCCTTCTCTTGTTGCAGAGCACAGGCTCTAGGTGCGCCGGCTTCAGTAGTTGTGGCGCTCGGGCGTAGCTGCTCCGCGGCATGTGGGATCTTCCCAGACCAGGGATCCAATCCGTATCCCCTGCATTGGCAGGTGGATTCTTAACCACTGCACCACCAGGGAAGTCCCTAAAGTATAGAATCTTGTTGTTCTGAAGGGACAGCTTCTAGATGAGTTTCCTAGTTCGCTTCCAGTCCATCCAACCCCGCTCAACCTGATAGTTGTGCTAAGCTCCTTACATATAAAAGTTTTGGAGCCATCACTATTTTCTCCTTTGAAAGAGACAAGCTGTGATCTCTCCTAGAGAGAGGCTTTGATCTACTTCTCTCTGCAATAATGGAAATACTCACAGTAGTGAGGGGATTAAAACTCTTGAGTAAGCTACTGGAGAGTGACAAGCCTCATAATAATTTGTCCTACAAGGAGAGGTCTGTTGCTGAGCCCGTGATGGTAGGCAAGTTTTGTTTTTTGTTTTTTTGCAGTACGCGGGCCTCTCACTGTTGTGGCCTCTCCCGTTGCGGAGCACAGGCTCCGGACGCGCAGGCTCAGCGGCCATGGCTCACGGGCCCAGCCGCTCCGCGGCACATGGGATTTTCCCAGACCGGGGCACGAACCCGCGTCCCTTGCATCGGCAAGCGGACTCTCAACCACTGGGCCACCAGGGAAGCCCGGTAGGCAAGTTTTTATTCTCTCTTCTCTGTGTGTCTTTCTCCTTTGAAAAGGGGACTTGAAATTAGCCGTCTTTTCTCGCCAACTTTCCCTTTAAAGTTTGACAAAATTCAGTGAAGATCCACCATGAGTTGAATACTGTCCTAACTCAGTAAAGGAACTAAGCATTATAAGGCATGGCCCTTTCCCAACAAAAGCTCACAATCTGTTCAGTTCATATTTATTAAGCACCTATGTCTGTCTTTGAGCTGAAGTTGGGGCTGCAAAGCTGAAAACTATGGTTTCTGACCTTAAGGAGTGCAAATGAATAATTAGAATGCAATGAAAGTACACTTATAGGACAAGATGTGAGAGCCCAGGATCGGCATAAAAAACAAATAGGCCTGTATACTACAAAGAGGACTGGTAAATGTTTTAATAAAAAGATACAGTGTCATGGGGAATGTAAGAGAGAAAGATACTCAGATATTATGTGATGAGGATAATCACTAATCAACAAATCAGTAATTTTGAGAATTTGGGATTACAGACTCTAATGTTAAGTACTGTGCTAGATACTATGTACAGAGAAATAAAAATAAGGTGGTCATATTTTTAAAATCTCAAAATAGGTATATGTAGTCAGGCAAATAAGAATATGCCCAAGAGGTCAGTGAGATCCAGTATTTGTTATCAGATCCTTTCTGATATGATAGATAGATCATTGTATTTGTAGATTGAAAAATTATAGTTCCAACTCTTTATGAGTCTGAATTTCATCATCAAAATGTTAAAAGTGATATATGGATGCAGATAGCACAGTGGAAACGATGATTGATTTTCAAATGAGTTGTAGAAATAAAAAATGTTGTGTTCATATTCATAGCGTGGCAAAAATCACTGTTACATAGAGTAGACTAGAAAGACTTTATAGTCAGGGCTTGACCTGTAGAGGATGGATACCATTTTAATTTTTTTAATTTTTAATTTAATTTTATTTTTTTGGCTGCATTAGGTCTTTGTTGCTGCACGTGGGCTTTCTCTAGTTGTGGTGAGCGGAGGGTTACTCTTTGTTGCAGTGCGCGGGCTTCTCATTGTGGTGGCCTCCTTGTTGCGGAGCACAGGCTCTAGGCACACGGGCTTCAGTAGTTGTGGCAGTGGGCTCAGTATTTGTGGCTCATGGACTCTAGAGCGCAGGCTCAGTAGTTGTGGCACATGGGCTTAGTTGCTCCGTGGCATGTGGGATCTTCCCAGGCCAGGGCTCGAACCCATGTCCCCTGCATTGGCAGGCGGATTCTTAACCACTGTGCCACCAGGGAAGCCCCAACTGCCATTTACTGAGAACTTACTGTATATCAAGCATTTTGCCACGCTCTTTAATCTAATTCTCATTTGTTCTTTATAACTCCAAGAGGCAAATTTTGGTCTTATATTTCCATTTTGTAGATGAGGAAACTGATTTAGAGAGAGATTAAGTTACTTGCCCTGAGTCACACACTGGGAAGTGGTGGAATTAGGATTCAAGCGTAGCCCTGTAAGGCTTCAAAGCCCATGCTGTAAACCATAAATGGTGTAAATAAAGGCATAGAGATGAGATGCCAGGCATCCTCAGTGGCTTAAATATGACCTCACAGTGAGCTCAGATTAGACCAGGGATGACACACAAAAAGTTGGTAGTCTTCACTTGTGTTGCCATCAGGCTGTCCTATAAATAAACCCAGAGTAACCACAGAGTCTCATCCCAAGCGGATCAACAGGGAATGGTTTCATAATGGATTTAGGGTGAAGGATGATTGGCAGAATAAGGCAGGCAAGCAGAGAGGTGGGCGATCAAATAAGAACAGAATTTCAGAACGAAAGATTATAGGGCAGAGATGCTGTATGTGGTGATAGAGGCAGAGAGGGCCTGGATCAGGAAACTGCACAAAGAGAATGAACTGATAACACTGAAGTCTAGAATTATCTCAGAAGACAAAGGAGGCAGTGGGACTGAGCAATCTGTCATAGATGTGCTCGGGCAAAGCGTCACCAAGGAGCCTGTCTCTTCCCTTGCCCAATCCCTGGTACAAGATTCAGAATGGTTCATGTTGAGTCCACAGGAGAAGTATGCTTTAAGTTTATATGAAAGGATTATGGTTGGTCCTCTATATCTGAGGGTTCCCCATCTGCAGATTCAACTAACTGTGGGTGGAAAATATTTGGAAAAAAAAAAAAAATTCCCGAAAGTTCCCAAAAGTAAAACTTGAATTTGCCACTTACTGGCAACTATTTACATAGTGTTTACATTGTACTTAGGACTATTTACATTGTATTTACAACTATTTACATAATATTTACATTGTAGTAGGTATTACAAGTAATTGAGAGATAATTTAAGGTGTACAGGAGAATGTGCCCAGGTTGTATGCAAATACTGTGCCATTTTATATAAGGGACTAGGGCATGGATTTTGGTATCTGGGGTGGGGGTGGTGAGTCCTGGAACCAAGGGACCCTGGGGGGGTGTCCATGGTACCAAGAGATGACTGTATGTGCTCTTATTTATATGTTCTCATTAAAAGAGCATTCATTATTCATTACCATAGGAATGTAGTGGTTTCCCATTGGGAAGTGGCCCTGCTGTAGTCCTACCTATTACCAGGTTTTTTCTTTCTGAGGTAAATACCCTTGACCATGACCAAAACAATTGGGT